CGTTGAGTGGGTGGCTGGCCACTTTGGGGTGCCGTTGGCGGCAGACAAGACTGAGGGCCCGACCGAGTGCCTCAGCTTCCTGGGTTTGGAGATAGACTCAGTGCGTGGGGAATGTCGGCTGCCTCTGGCTAAGTTGGGGGGACTGCGCAGTGCGGTGGCCGCGGTGCAGCGGGCACGTAAGGTGACCTTGCGGCAGCTACAATCGTTGATCGGGATGCTCAATTTTGTCTGCAGGGTGATACCTATGGGTAGGGTGTTCAGCCGCAGCCTGTCGGCAGCCACCGCAGGGATCGGTTCTCCACACCATTTCGTTCGGGTCTCTTCCTCGATGAGGGCTGACCTGGACGTTTGGAAGGTCTTTTTGCAAGACTTCAACGGGACGGTGTTCTTCCGTCAGGAGGGTGTGTCTACGGCCGAATTGGAGCTGTTCACTGATGCATCGGGTAGCGTGGGTTTCGGGGCTTACTTCGGGGGGAGATGGTGTGCTCAGAGGTGGCCGGAGGCGTGGGGGCGAAGCCCCCTCATACGGAACTTGGCTTTTCTGGAGCTGTTCCCATTGGTGGTGGCATTGGCCCTATGGGGGGATCGGCTCCGCGACCGGAAGGTGGTCTTTTTCTCGGACAATATGTCGGTGGTGCACGCCGTCAATAACCAGTCGGCGGCATCCAAACCGGTAGTGAAGCTATTGCGACGGTTTGTTTTGCTGTGCATGTCCCTTAATGTAGTTTTTCGTGCGCGTCACGTGCCCGGGTATTTGAATGAAGTGGCTGACGCTCTGTCTCGCTTTCAGTGGTCCCGGTTTCGGGCGGCGGCTCCGGAGGCTCAGGAGACAGGACAGGCGTGCCCGGACGAAATGTGGCAGTTCGGAGCATCATGCTTGGGGGACTTGTGAGGGCTTCGCTGGCACCAGCCACCTGGACCGCATACAGTAAGGTTTGGGGGGCCTGGGAACGTTCCTGGGAGGGGCTGGGCCAGGGGCCGCAGGTGGAGTCATTGCAGGACGCCTTCCTGTGGTTTACTTTTCATTTGCTGGCAAAAGGTGTGTCCCCCGCGATGGTTGATAGGACCATGGCGGCAATGGCCTTTTGGTTTAAATTCCACGGGTGGGAGGACCTCACGAAAGCGTTTGTCATTAGGCAAGCACTTAAGGGGTATTGGAGGGGCCGGAGGGCACCGGATGCTAGGCGCCCGGTATCGGTGCGGGTGCTTGAAAAATTTACTCCGAGTGCTGCCCGGAATCTGCTTCGACGGGTTTGAGGTAGCCCTGTTCAGAGCAGCTTTTCTTTTGGCCTTCTTTGGGGCATTCCGTATAGGGGAATTGGTGAGCGCTACTCGGTCAGCGTCGGGGGGTCTGCAGGTATCCGGTGTTCGCATGCTTGCGGGGAACCTGGTAGTATACCTGGCTACGTCCAAGACGGACGTCATGGGTAAGGGCCGGGATGTGACGCTGGGTCCCCTGCCCGGGTCATCGTTGTGCCCGGTTGTGGCAGTGGCTCGGTTCTTGGAACTGAGACCGGCAGTTGGGGGGTCTTTATTGGTTCATGCCGATGGCTCCTCGCTCTCTCGTTTTCAATTTACTAAGGTGTTCCGATCGGGCCTGGGGGCGTTGGGGTTGAGTGCGGCTGCCTATGGGACTCATTCCTTTCGCATAGGGGCGGCCACTGAGGCCGCGCGCCTGGGCATGGGGGACGAGTTAGTTAAGAGGATCGGGAGATGGGAATCTGCTCGGTTCCGCACGTATGTGCGCTTGGGTTTGTTGGATCAGTAATGCGGGCTGTATAGGACGGGGGAGGGCCCCGGTCTGGGTATGGGGGTTTTTTACGTTGTTTTCCTTCTTCCCCAGGCTATGTCGCGTGGATTGTGGGCCATTCCTTCATCGTCTGGGCCGGACGGAGAGCTGCAGCTCGAGCCCAGGGCCAACAGCTGTGCTTCCCGAAAGACCTACTAACAGTGCGATGGTTGGGATTTAAGGGATTTGGCTGGGGCGACGTGTGCGGGGTGATAATGCGGATGGTAGCGGGCGGGGCGAGGCCGGATATGCTAGTTCTTCATGCGGGGGGCAATGACCTGGGCCTCATTCCGCAACGAAGGTTAGTTAAATGGATGAAGCAGGACCTGAACAGATTGTTCGACCTGCTTCATGGGGTGATGCTGGTGTGGTCCGAGATCGTACCAAGGCGTCGGTGGCGGCACGCGAGGGATCCGGTGGCCATCGACAGATGCAGGGGAAAGGTTAACAGCTTGATGGCAAGCTTCGTGAGGAAATTGGGGGGCGTGGTAGTGAGGCACGTAGAATTGGAAGGTGGGCTGCCGGGTTATTACCACACGGACGGCGCCCATCTCTCAGCGGTGGGTCTGGATTTGCTGAACTTGGGTTTGCAGGAGGGGATGCAGAGGGCTCTCTTTCTTCGGGGTGGCGGAGCTCGGACGGCTTGAGGGGTCAAGGTCCGAGCTTGTGGCGGGATAGAGAGCTAGGGAAGGCAAAAATAGGCTCCCCATGAGGAACGTGAGGAACATGAAGAATTGTGGTCACTGGTGGATGGTGGGTTTCGAGTCCTGGAGGTGGCTCAGAACCTGGTGGGGTAGGGGTATCTGGGTATACCCCTGCCGTGGTTACTTATGGTTGGCATTTAAATCGGTTCATGTTGGAGTAAGGTTAAAGCATTATTTATATATATTTATGTGTTGCTTATGTTGGGTCATTGCCTTGATATTAATGAAGGTATAGATGCGAGGGCGGAGTATGGGGGCAATGACCCATGTTTTATATATATGTTAAATTATTAGTATCGTTACTATGATTGTTAATAAAGCTGTGGACAATTTTTCCCATATACCTTAGTGTCAGCGTGTTATTGGGGATGGTATGTGGGGAGGTTGTTGTCCAAGGTTCCGACTGCCCATATGGCGACTATACACCAGTCATGTGTCCACGCTGTTATCAGGCCCAGCATCATTCTGGTTCAGCAATCATGCCATCTGCCACTACGTTTGATAGACTGATATGCAGGCAATAAAACCAGCAACTAACTGTTATGGGAAAGGGGGGTCTGTCCCAGACATGGGTAAATCATCTCAGCCTTCCAAACAGAGGAAGGACTCAGAAGAAGGTTGCCATCCGCAAAGGCGAGCTAATGGATCTATTAGTAAGGAGGTGAGTGTAACAAAACTCAATGAAGCTCCATTAAAGGTGGGTAAAAAACATAATTTTAAGACACTATACAGTAAAATTACGATAAAAGTTTAACTTTAAACCGCATATTAGGACTTCTGCTTGAATGGTTCACCATTCATCTTCCATGTTAGGTAGTGAGAACAGTATGAAGAATGCTGGTCTCCCCTCTGGTTATAAGGATCTCTTGGGAACCCCAGGACATTTTTTATTTATGCATTTATATATATTTATTAAAGGGATACTATAGTCACCAGAACAACTACAGCTGTAGTTGTTCTGGTGAGTATAATCATTCCCTGCAGGCATTTTCATGCAAACACTGCCTTTTCTGAAAAAAGGCAGTGTTTACATTCCCCCTTAGAGACACCTCAAGTGGCCACTCCACTGATGGCCACTGGAGGTGCTTCCTGGGGCAGTGCTGCACACCGTTCAGGGTCTCCACGCTTTGCATGGAGACGCTGAACTTTCTATTGAGGAGGTGCTGATTGGCCAAGCCGGCAATTGGCTCCGTTCCCCCTTCTTGTCGGTTTCAGCAAATCGAACGCTTTCCCATCCAATGCTTTTCCTATAGAAAAGCATTAGATTGGCTGAAATAATAAATTCTGATGATGTAAGCCAGGAGGCGGATTGGAGGTACGGTTTATTAACTTTTAAGGGGGCTAATGGGGGACAAGCCACCTAAATAGTGGTTTTAACACTATGGGGTCGGGAATACATGTTTGTATTCCTGACCCTATAGTGTTCCTTTAGTTCATATATTGTTAAAAAAATAAAATAAAAAAGTTGGGCAGACTAGATGGGCCGAATGGTTCTTATCTGTAAAACGTGCGAATAGCATGGGTGTAAAGAAAATGTGGACAATTGAAGTGAAATTGAGAGTGCTAATTCTGTTGATTTATAGGACTAATTTACAAAGTTAATAATTAGTGACCGTGAAATAAACAAAAGGCTTTGACTTTGACTCTTCATGGATTCACAGGGTTATTAAACTAAGCCTTCTGATACAGGCTTGTATTCGTGACTTTACCAAAATATTTCACTCATAAAAATTACAATCATATGAACTTTATTTTGAAGAAGTTTTGCCCAAGATAAGCCATGTACCAGCCTGTACTAGATATCTTTCAGGGAGCCTTGGCTGGATGAACACACAGCTTTGCCAAAGACAATGATTTCAGCATTCTAAAGGAAATTAATTTCTAAGTTAGATCCCTATGGAAATGTGATGAAATGTTGAGCATAATTCTATTTCCATATATGTGATAAACATATATGTGTACGTCATTTCGGACAGACATCCTTTTGGTTTGTGCAAATTTTACCAACTGAATGACTGACTGCATTGAACGATTATGTCTGGCCTGGAATATTGTTTCTGTTTGCACAAGTTTAAAATCATGTTTTCTTTTTATTATGCAGATATTTCCATAAATCCACATTGCCACATCTTAACTTTTCAATGCCAAGCTCTCTTTTGATTCAGAAGTAATATTAGTTTTGGAGTTATTTGAAGTCTGGCGATAATAACACAATAAACATAGGATAAAACAGAAAATACATCATAAATTGCTTTTGAAGGAAATCTAAAAAGATTAAAATTATGTATTTACACATCTTTATCATTCCTTAATTCATTCCTTTAATGTGTTAATTTGGTTATCATTCAATAAATAGTTGAAATGTACATTGTTTTATAGTGTAATGTACAATTGAAACAAAAGGAACACACTAATGAGAAAAAAATAGCAAATAAGTAGATAAGCATCAAAAGAAAACATGCATGTAATTAGTTTGGGGGTACACAAACATGTATTCTTGACCGTCAGCAGACACATTCCAGCCAATCAGCAGCAGACCCTCCCTCCCAAACCCTCCCTCCCAGACCCTCCCACCTCCTGGACAGCATCCATTTTACATTCATTGTGAAGCTGCATTCTTAGTGAGCTGTCCAGGAGGTGGGAGGGTCTGGGAGGGAGGGTCTGCTTCTGATTGGCTGGAATGTGTCTGCTGACTGTGAGGTACAGGGTCAAAGTTTACCGCATGTGTTCGCCGTCCGTGGCGAACCGTTCGGCGAACCGTTCGGGACATCTCTATTCCTGACCTATTTTGTTAAAAGCACCATTTAGGTGGCTTTCTACCCCTTTGCCGCCCTTAAAAGGTAAGAAAACTTACCTTATTTCCAGGACTGCGCAGGTTCACTGTTACTTCCTCCCCCCGATCTGACTCCTTGGCTGATATAATCACAGTTGATGATCTCAGCCAGTCCAATGCTTTCCCATTGGAAAAGCATTTGATTGGCTGAGATGTCAAAGGGGAAAGGTGGGGCGGGCCAAACATCGGCCTGGTCAATCAGCATCTCCTCATAGAAATTCATTGAATAAATGCATCTCTATGGGTAAAGTTCAGCATCTCCATGCTCTGAATGTCAGTGCTGCACACTGTGCACCACTGACCCAGAAATCACCTCTAGTGGCCATTAGGGGAGTGGCAACTAGAAATGTTCGGTTTAACCCCTAAAGGTAAGAAAGCTACAAGGACCTCCTGGCACCATAACAACTTCATATTGATGATGTTATTGTGCCCAAACTGTTCCGTTAAACTATTCTAAAAATTGAATGAAGATAAAAAAAATATCTTTTTAAGAATTAAAAAAAACTACAGTATTTTTGAAAACCTAGAAACTGCCTTATATTTCAAAAGGAGCCAAACTGGTACTTTTGTTTTTTTTGTTTTTAATAAGTTTTAATTTTCAATATTTTAATGCCTACCTAGTGGTTTCCTTTATCCTTTTGTTTGTGAGTGCCATGATCTTCCATGATGAAGGGTTTCTCTAGGGTTTCCTTTTTTGTTTAGAGTGGAAAAAATATATATTTTGTTAATTAATTAATAAAATACAATTTTATGAGATTAATCTGGTCTTTCCTTAATAATACAATTCGATATTAAGTTCTAATTCCATTGCCTTTACCACTGAATTACATTTTCCAACCATGTCATAATTTGGATGACCCCATGCTCTTTTAAATAAAAAATACCTTTTGATGCTTTGAAATAAATTACGACCAAAACTTTTTTTTTGTTTGGAGGCGTCCAGGTGGTAATTTTTAATCACATTCTTACACAGCTTAAAAGATGAAATGATAATGCATTCATTAAAGAATTCTAGATAAGTCGATGTTGTGATAAAGATATAATTTCTGCATCAGTCACAGAAATAGTTAGTGATTAATGAAGGTCGGTAGTGCGTAGAATGTTCCGGTATTTTCATGGCCTATGGTATTTTCATTCCTGCCATATGTAGAGCTATGATTGATTTCGTTGTTGATAGCCAGCCCTGTATTGTAACATGTTTTGCAATATACTGCTGACTAAACAAAGTGGGTTCATTTTTTGAGAGATGATTCAATTCGTTTTACACAATTATGCTAGTTGTTTTCCAACCTCTCCATGTGTCATTTGGACTCATGGAGCTCTTCAGAATTTTATGATGTCATTAAACAGAACAGTAACACATCTTAGTTACAATAAGACTATATTAATTTATTTTTCTTTCGGTTTACTGGCAATGATTTATTTAGTGCCCCAACTGCAGATTCAAATTCAGTTCTTAAAAGTATTAACTTCGTTCTTCATACTTCTGAGTTACATAAAATGAGTACTATTGAAGAGTTACAACAAGCCATCGTTTGGTACTCATCTACCTTGGAGGCTAGATATGTGACAACATACAGTTATGTAGCGGTTTGTCCCCTTATCGGGGAGTGTCCCAGGATATTCCTGACATTATAACCACTACATTGGCCTGTACTGGGCATGATGCTTGGCGTAACCCTTTATGTTAGCTTACAAAATAATATAAATCTTATTGTTTAATTCCTGAAGGACTATTATTATTATTTATACTACTTTATTAATTACTATTACAACTATGAGAAAATACCTCTATTTCATCAATTTCATTTCAATTACTTTAGTAGACTTCGTACTGAGTTTTAAGCTTATTGCAATCAGCTATACTACAATGTTTTCTCGTAGGTTGCTCAAATATAATTATTCTGCGTGTTATCTTGGCTATAGCGATGTGGCGGCTACTCCAAGATGTCCTTGACATGGAGGGCTCCCACCAACTTACTATGTGTTATTTGCTCCCCATTGAAATTACACAGACCCACATGTTCCCTTGGTGAGAACGTTTTTGGGTGTGTGCAGTGCAAGGTATAGAATTGGATGTACAATTTATGTTTAGTTTTTCTTCCTCCATATTTATTTATATATTTTAGAAATATGCACTTTTTGTTTCCAATTGACCTTTGGAACAGCTGGAACCCATACTAGTAATGTATAAATATCTGTTTAGGGCTATAGAATTGACAACTTATTGCTGATGTTTGTAAGATTGCTGACTCATTTACTTGGTCTTTTTTGTTTTTTCAGTGGCACCTAAAATAGATCTTAGAAGTCCTCTCGGGAGACAATTTCCACTGATGTTTGCTTATATGATTCCGTCTCTGGAAATGTCACTGCATTCAGAGTTTTATGGGGGTTTTTTTGTTTCCTTTTACTTGTATACATTTTGTATTTTTTTTCCCTCCAAAAATTCAATCGAAATTGGCACTTTTATGAAATAAACTTGTTGTCAATCAAAAAACAGGTCTGTTACCTCCTGGTTTGTTTAGTGGAGTGGAGTGTCCCTTTAACAAACTTTAAACATGAAAAAATAATGGTATTTCCAAGTATTTATTTTATTACTTTACTTTAGATAGGAGTAGATATCCATGAATGTAGATGTCTTGTTTCCCACTATATTGAAGAATGGATTTGGACATAAACATCAGTTACAATAAAGGTCAATATTTTTAAAGGGACACTATAGGCAACCAGACAACCTCATCTCATTGAAGTGGTCTGGGTGCAACATCCCTCTCATTTTAGCCTTTAGTTTCCGAGAATGTTTTTATTGCAGTGTTAAGACTGCCTCTAGTGGCTACCAGATAGTAGTAGTACCAGATGCAGTTTCAGAGAGTTTGACTTAGTGAAACGACGTTGGACGTCCTAATGATTCCTGTGAGGATATTCAGCATCTTCAGTTCCCCCACAGGAAAGCACTGAGTCAATGCTTTCCTATGGGGAAGGCCTAATGCATATGTGGTGCTCGCTGCGCATGCACATTAGGATCACGCAACGTCAGACGTTGGAGGGAGAGGAGCCCAATCCATGCCTAGGGACCTCAACACTGGAATCAGGTAACTTTATAAAGGGTTTTTAACCCTTTATTTGCCATAGGGGGTGAATGAGGGGGAGGCAAAGGGTCACTATAGTGTAAGGAATACAGGTTTAGTGTTCCTTTAAATGCCCTAAAATATTTTAACATTTTCCCATTCTTCTATGGGGGTGGATAGAAGAAATTCACATCATTAGTTAAAAGCAATCACTCATTAACTTACTTAACTGTAGACATTCAATAGACTATCACACTGTGGAACGATGTGTTTGACAGTTTAGTCCAAACAATTCATATCTTCTGTTTTATGTTTGTGTAGTAAAGTTATTTAATCAGTTTTTCCCTGAGAAGACCTGTGACATGATTAAAAAGATAAAACTTAAAACATATATTTAGATACTAAAACAAATGAAGACTCCCATTTTTAGCTTCAGTTATGTGAACTTTCAACTTGAACTATGTCAATCTCAAGTTACAAATCTTAGTCCGACAAGTTTAAGATCAGCATTTTTTTGCTGTGTGTGTTTAAACATATGGCAGTATGGTTTACTTTAGTGTTGAAGCACATACATGTTCCAGGCTTTAGTATATTATTATTTTTTTTAAATGTATTTTCTTTTTTTTATATTTTTTTTATTATGAAAGCATGTTTTCTGACACAACAACTCAAATGGATATCAAACAAAGATGTGATATCATTTTATAATGGAATCATTAAAGGACCACTAGAGTCACTTCATTTCAATGAAGTGGTCTGAGTGCAGTGGACCTTTAGTTTTAAACTTGCAATGTAAAACATTGTAGTTGTTTTAGAATGTAAAATGCGTTGGATCTTTGGGACTGGAAAAAAGAGAGTAAAACGCTTCTGTTCTATTATTCATTTTTCTGCTCACATGGACGGGGGCTTTCTAACTGGGGACAGGGACACTAAAACTTTAGGAACACAGGTTTGCCTCATAACGATTTAACATAATAAATCCATTGTCATATTGGAAACTTATATTATAAAGTGATATTGCATTAGTGTTCAACACAGATTATTTGTTTGTATCTACAAATCTGTGTTTCTAATTTATCCCTTACCCTACTGAAACTAGAAAACCAAAGGAAAAAAGCAGGAGCATCCAAATGATTTCCATAGCAACTCGATGGTTTAATCTAAAAATCTTAGACCCTAAGTATAAACTTCTCCATGACAGTTTCCAAATTTACATTGTACCCCTGAAACCCAGCAACTCATAACAGAGGAATGAGAATTACATAACATATCTAAAATGTTTTCTACTGAAGCACTATGACTATTAAAACTTTTTAAACTAGTAGATACACTGATCAGCCACAACATTTAAACCAATTCCATAATATCATGTAGACCCTCCTTGTGCTTTCAAAATAGCTCTGATGTGTCAAGGCATGGACTCCATATAACCTCTGAACGTGTCCTGTGGTATCTGGCACCAAGACATTGGCAGCAGATCCTTTAAGACTTACAAGTTACGAGGTGAAGGCAGGTCCCCCTCGTGTTTTTAAAACAGCTCTGGTGCATCAAGGCATGGACTCCATAAGACCTCTGAACGTGTCCTGTGGTATCTGGCAACAAGACATTAGCAACAGTATTTGGACATCAATGCCCCACCTCGAACTCTGTCATGTTCCTCAAACCATTCCTGAACATTGTTTCAGGTTGGCATTGTTATCTGGGAACACCATTGCCATGAAGGGGTGTACGTGGTCTACAACAATATCCCAGTAGAACATTGCCAGAGCATAACACTGTCTCTGTCAG